ACTAAAATCTGCACTGGATTTGTTGACGGAGCAGCAGAGCCAGGCACGGATGCTCAGTGTCCAGTTGGAGGACAGAGAGCACTTCTCCTCTGAGCTCGAAGAGAAACTGAGGGATTTGGGGTCCTCACAGAGCGACATCAACAATGAATCACTTTTAAAGAAAGACTCTGAAATCAGTGAGTTGCATCTACGCTTGAGTGAGAAAGAGCAGGAGATTATAGCACTCAATGATAGTATGTCTGCTAAACTCATTCAAGCACAAGAAGAGACATCACTGGTTCACAGTGAAATGAATAAGTTGAAAGAGGAGATGCAGGAGCTTAGAAATATAGTGGATGATAAAGAAACTAGTCATGGCTCAACATTGCCAGATGAAGATACTTTGTTAACTTTACAAAAGGAAAAAGAAGAGCTGAAAACTCAACTTACCAACACAAAGAAGAAATTACAGATGGCTCTTGTGCAGCGCAAAGAACTCATGAAAAAAGTGGCAAACCTAGAAGAAAACAAGGTTACTGACCAGGATGTTATGGAAGAAAAGCAAATGGACAAGCGTGGAAATAAAGAGTTTGAAAAAATGGAGGTTAAGCTTTCTGAACTTGAAAAAACTTTGAAAGAAAAAGAGGAGGTTGTTGAGAGTTTGGAGCAGAAGATACGCCAACAGGACCAGGTTCTTGCAGAGGCACTTGCTCTAAACAGAAAATTAAGCAAGGAAGATGAAAGTTCCCAGCAAATGGATAATCTGAATATGATGACGTTACAATCGCAAGTGGTCTCCCTTGAAGGGGAGTGTGACTCACTTCAGAAGAAAGTGCAGGAAGCCCAAGAGTCTCGCAAAGACACGCTCCGTAAAGCAAAAGAGAAAGACAGGCACCACCGTGAACAACTAAAGCAACTGAAGGAGGAGTACTCTGAGCTTATGGGGCGTTTTGAAAAGCAGAGTGATGAAAAGGAAGTTCTTCAGCAAAAGCTGAGAGAATTGGAAATGCACAAGAAGCAAGAAATTCAGTCTTATCAAGAGTCACAACTGGAGGTTAAAACCTCCGAAAAATCTGCAGCTAATGACTGGGGACAGGAGGACTGGGTTGACTTTGCAGCCCCTGAGCCAGATACAGCCCAACAGCAACCGTCTAGTAGTGAGAGTAGGCCAGAGCAAGGTCAAGGCTTCTCTGTACAAGTGGATGAGTCATTGGATGCACTCAGAGAGGAAATATATGCTTTACAAAAAGCTAACACAGAACTAGAAAATAAATTGGCAGATACACACGCTATTTTGTCACTCAAGGACACAAAATTATTGGCAGTAACAAGAGATCTGCAGCTACTAAAAGAAAAAGAAATACAAATAGATATTGTTTCTGAAGAGATGAATGTTCTTAGAGAAAAATATCAACAAGCTCAGTCTTATGCAGAAAGTCTTAAGGCTGAGATGGACGCTGCTGTTAAAACTGCCTCTGTGGAGTCTGCCTCCTCCATTGCAGCTCTTCAGGCTGAAATTGCCGATTTCAGACTATTTCTTGACAATAAAAACCAAGAGATAATGGAGCTCAGTCAACAACTTCAAGAGCAAAACACTTTGATACGCTCCATGGAGACTGCTGTGTCACATAAGGATGAACTAATAGTCTCTTTACAGGAAGAACTGAAGGCAGAGCAAGAAAAAACACAGAGGTTAGAAGTGGAGGTCCCTCAAAAGCAGGAAGAAGAAAAGGACAGTGAGACAAAGATACAACAACTGCAAAGAAAACTACAAGCAGCTCTGATCAGCCGTAAAGAGGTTCTAAAAGAAAACAAGACGATAAAGGAGCAACTAGCCTCCACTGAGCAGGTACTTACTGAGCTGAAGGAAAAAATGAGTGCAACAGAAGAAGAGCTGGAGAAGCTCCAAAGTGAACGAGACAAATTGATCAGCGAGGTGGACCGTTTACTCCTAGAAAACCAAAGTCTTGGCTCTTCCTGTGAGAGCCTTAAACTGGTAATGGATGGCATTATAAGTGAAAAAGACAATTATCAAAGAGAGGCTGAGCTCGCCAAAGAGGAGGCAGCCCACACCTGCAGAGAGTGGGAAGAAAAGGTACAAAACATGAAGGAGGAGTATGAGACGCTCCTCAAGTCCTATGAAAATGTGAGTGATGAAGCAGAGCGTGTGAGAAGAGTCCTGGAAGCAGCCAAACAGGAGAGACAGGAGCTAGCGTCTAAAGTAAGGGCCCATGAAGCATTGCGACTAGAGGCTGAAAGACAAGCAGAGGAGGCAAAAAAAGAGGTGGACACAGTGAAAGACAAAATGAGAAAGTTTGCTAAAACAAAGCAACAGAAAATAATGGAATTGGAAGAGGAGAATGAACGGCTGAGAGAACAGCAAGAAAAAGCCATGAATGTGTCACCTGATGATAGAGGCCTTAAAGCTGAGTTTGAAAAAGCGTGTGAGGATCTGAGGGCTTTACAAACTGAATTAGAGGAAACCAAAAATGAGAGAGACATTTTAAGTCAGCACATTGATGAGTTAAGGGAAGAAATTGCACAAAGGGAATTTAAAGAAAGTGAAACTACAGCCCAGAGCACTGCTGCTGTTCAAGAGGAGATTGTAACTGCACAAACATCAGATATGACTATGACTAAATATGAGCCATCTGAGGGCCAAGAACATGAAGAAACAACTTTAGAACCGTCTAACAAAGTTGCTATAGGTGTAGGTGCCCCAACAGAAAAAAAATATGAACTTGAACAAATGGAACACAAAATTAAGGATATGGAAGCTGCTTTTGCTACTGAAAGAGTTCAGTGGCAGAAACTGGAAGCTGAATTAAGGGGGCAATTAGCTACTCTCGAACAAGATGTTGAAGAGCTCAAAACAAAAGAAATCACTTCAGAGCAGTCACTTCATCAGAGCACAGAGAGGGAAAAGAGGCTGGCAGAGGAAGGAGTCAGTAGAGAGACACATTTCAAAGAGCTCCTTAAAAATCTGGAATCTGAGAAGGATAACCTGGAGGAGCGCTTGATGAATCAACTGGCTCAACTCAATGGCAGCATTGCCAGCTACCAACAGGAGGCTTCAGACCAGCGGCAGCACCTGGCAGAGCTGCAGTGTGAAGTGGAGACACTGGAGCGAGAGAGGGCTGAACTGGAGGCTCAGTACCACAGTGAGCAGGCACGCGCCTTGAGGCTGGAGGAGGACATGAGGCAGGCCCAGAGGCAGCGGGCAGAGGCCGAGGCACAGTGTGGGAAACAGAGGGAGCTCGAGCAGCAGCTGCGCTCTGCGGAACGAGTCAAAGAGGGAAGTCAAAGCCGATCGCGACAGCTCGAAGAGCTGCTTCGAGAGAAACAGCTGGAGGTTCGCCAGCTGCAGAAAGACTCTATTCAGTACCAAGAGAGGATCAGTGAACTGGGTCGAGAGGCTAAGGCACTGCAGATCGGTCATGATGAGCTCCTAAAGAAACAGCAACATGCTCAACTTGAGATTTCTAAAACTGTGGAGGATTTGAAAAGGACTGAAGCAGAGTTGTGCGATTGTAAGTCTCAGTTAAATTATGCCCAGGAACAACTGAAGGACGCTTTGGCTGATAAAGCAGCTGTGGAGCAAAAGGCCCAGCAGAAGGAGACATTGCTGAAAACTGAAGCTGAGCAGACATTGGACTCTGTGCGGTTCAGGCTGGGAGCTGAGCTGAAAGAGATAGAGCTGAGACTAGAGGAGTCCTTCAGAGAAAGGGAGAGAGAGGAAGATGCTACTGCAGAGGCCAGAGACCAGGCAGAGGCAGCAGAAAGACGGGCACAAGAGTTGAAAACTCAATTGGATGAGTCACTGGCCAGGTTGGCTGCCTTCTCTCGCTGCATGTCTTCATTGCAGGATGATCGGGACCGTATTTTAGATGAGGCCCGTCAGTGGGAAAACCGCTTCAATGGCGCTCTCCAGGGTAAAGAGGCTGAAGTTCGGGAGGCGGAAACACGTGTAAAGGCATTAGCAGAACAGCTGCAAAAGGAAATTGCACTGAAAGAAGGACTCCAAATCTCTATTGACAGGTAAAACATTTTTCTTTACATTTTTTAGGGTCTTCTCACATTCAGTTTATATAATGTAAAGGTATTATGTTTTTATTTTTAGTTTGGAAAATGCCGACAAAGAATGGCAGCAGAAATTTGAGGAATTTAACAACAAATTCAAAGCCAATAAAGAGTCTCTTGAAAAGGAGAGGAGCCAGCTGGAGCAGACCACCACTGCTCTGCAGGCTGCACAAAGTGAAACCCTTAGTCTTCAAAAGGAAGTGGAGAGTTTGCATCAGAGGACAAAAGCTCTGGAGGAGGCAGTGGGCCATTTACAGGCTGAAGCTGATCAAGCCCGAACTGAGCTAAGAGAAAGAGAAACTGAAGAAAGGCGTCTATGTCTGAATGTGGAACAACTAGAGGCAGATCTGCGCTCCTCCAAGGCCCTGACTGAAAACTTGCAGATGGAGTTAAATGAGAAGGAACGAAAAGAGGTTGAGATGTTAGGCGAGACAGAGCAAGCGGTCACTCAGGTATATCACTTATTTCAAAGTTTAATGTACATTATATAAAACATCTTTATCATATATTGTTTTGTGTTTTTGTCTCAGGCTGCAGAGGAGGCCAGAAAGGAGGCTGAAGGTAGAGCACAAGAAGCTGAGAAGGAGCTGGAGCAGAGAAGAGTTGAACTGCAGGAGCTTGAAGACAAACTGCGAAAAGCAGAAACCGAAAGTAATCAGAGTAAAACAAGGCTAGATTCATTTACCAAGGCTATGGGCTCTCTGCAGGATGACAGAGACAGAGTCCTTAATATGTATAAGCAGCTGGAAGAGAAACATCTTCAGGTACTGGGACATTATAATTGATATCATACAAATCACTAAACAGTATTTTGTATATTTATTGTTGACTTCATATTACAGGTGATGATGGAAAAGGATGGTCTGATCCAGGAGGCTGCTGGTGAAAACAACAGCCTGAAAGAAGAGCTGCGCTCTCTGCTGGTACAGAGGGATGACCTGTACGCGGAAAAAGCCAAGCTGGCTGCACAGCTTCATGGATACAGAGAAGAGCTCAACCAAGTCCTAAGCATGAAAGAGTCTCAACACAAACAGCTTTTAGCAGCCCAACGCCAGCGCATAGCTACTCTCGAGAAGCAGCATAAAGAAATGGAGAACCAGCTGAGGAGCCTGAATATGGCCAGGGACACCGAGGGGCACAGTAGACTAGAGGAGGAGACTCTTAGTCAGGTAGCTGAGACCAGTACACCTTCACAAGTGGTGGTTGCTCCAGGAGCAGAGGTGGAGAAGCTTAGGGAGCAACTACAAGCTGCAAGAAAACAGGTTAAAGATCTGGAGGACACTCTGTTAACAGAGAGGGAAGCACAGGAGACCAAGAGCAAAGAACTTGAAGAGCTAAAATGGGAGGGAGGTGTGATGCGCACAGAGTCTGAGAGTGCACAGGAAAGAGTTGCAGAGCTGGCACGGGACCTGCTGGCTGTTGAACAGAAGCTGCTGGAGGAGAAAGAAGTGACCACACAGCTCAGAGCAGAGAAGCAATCCTTTGCTAAAACCATGGCCTCGCTTCAAGACAGCAGGGACCAAGCTCTAAACAAGGTACAGGAACTGAGTCTGAAAGTGGAAGAGCTCAGCAGAGCAGGTAGCCACATGGCACAAAGTGGATTAACAAGCTCCACTGGGGAAGTCTGGGGTCTGAAAAATGCTCTGCAGGCCCTGCAGAATGACAGGGAAAGACTGGTGAGTTACACAGTGCTCAATTTTGCTACATTTGTAGTCAATATTTTGCTCTTGACTATTTCTAATACCCAAATACATATTTCCCCTCAGCTGGAGCAGCTTGAATCAAAATCCTCAGAGCTCAAAAAGCAAAAGTCTGAGCTGTCCCGGCTGGGTGCAGGAGAGCTGATCAAAGTCAGTCAGGAACTTTTTGAGGAGAAGGAGAGGAACAAAAACTTGCTGGGAGTCATTGCAGAGCTGGAAAACGCTGTTAAAGTGGGCAAGCAGGAAATCGATGCACTACAGTATGTTTGAATGATTACACTTTTTATCTTGTATTGAACCAGGGCAAAGGTAATTGTGTATTTCATGTTCTCAGTATGGAACGGGTGGATATGATGGCTCAAGCCGAGCAGCTAAAGCAGCAGACTCTTGTTACACTCTCAGAAAGAGACCAACAACTACGCCATCTCAGTACTATGCTGGAGGAAGTTCACCATAAGAAACCACAACTCCAAGAAGAACACTATCAAAGACAGGTATGTAGGTTAAGTTGCTGTTGCTCTAGAGTGTATTAAAATGTAGTTATGTTATTATGCTTGTGTTGTTGGTGTAATTGTGATAGGGAGCAGAAGATGGTGCTCCAGGGGCTCCACAACAGAAATCCTCTGTTCTGGAGACACATGCATATCTGGAGGAGGTCAAGGAGCTGCATCAGAGGTACTATTCAAACAAAACTGTCCACAAAAATCAAATTTAAGCATCTTAGTGTTTAATGCTAACTGTAACATTTCACATTAGATTAGATCAAGAGACTCGTCAAAGGATAGCTGCTGAGGAGCAGTTACAGGCCACGCAAGATCGACTGAGTCGGTAAGAACTCGAAATCTAACATATATGTGCCTGAGCAATAAAAAACCCTCTAATTTCAATTGGGCTCTAATTGTAAATATTTTGTTGAATATATTATTTCATCTGCATGACTATTCATACCTCTATTAATATTTTAGTCACAGTCAGGCTCAGTGGAACTTGGCATTAGAAGATGAACTCTCAGAAACTGCAGTCTTCATTGAACCACCAGAAGGAGCTGTCACTAGAGTAAGTGAAGTAATTATTTTTCATTATAACCTCTGCCCTTATAAAGCCTTATGGTATGTACATTGTTCATATCATCGCTCCTCTTTGCAGACGCGGAGAGTTGGTCCAGGCCTGCTGCGGATGTTAAGAGTGGCATTCTGCTCTCGTCAGCGCACCCCTCTTCTGCTCAGTCTCTACCTGCTCACAGTGCACGTCCTGCTGTTACTCTGCCTCGGTGGATACCTCTAAGCCTTTTCACTGATAGGACAGTTGGACCACAGGGATCATGTCAAAACATAAGCCATTTTATGTTTTTGTTCCACACAAATGTTGCACTTTGAAGTCTAATTTTACTTGTAGCCAAAGTTTACACTGTAGATATTTGGTATGAATTTGATTTGTCGTATGATTTTTAACTTAATTTCTCTTAACAGCTGTGACACTTTTTAAGGTAAGCTGGGGTCAGAAAGAGACTAAGTTGTGCATTTTCCTTCAACTTGAAAGGAATGTGTAGATATTGAGAGAAGTATTGTGGCTATAGGCGTGTTCCTGTGCCTTTTAAACTTTAACACTTGATGGTCACTTTATGTTAATGGATTTAGGCTTTGGGACATGTTTTTCTTGTCTGGTCTCTTTCTCTTCTGCTCATTTTATGCACAAAAATGGAGCACAGTGCAATTATATTATTTTTAGATTACTTTAACCTTTACAATTAAAGCGGCATTTTACCAGGGAACACTGCTCATATAATGTTAAATGAGTTACTGAGTATTTTCAGCATTCTTTCAGTTTTACTGGACCAATTTTGTAAGGACTACACTGATGTAGTTTGTTTAGATGCGAGGGACAGAAGTTGTGCTTATTAATGATTGTTCCCACATTCACATACTGAAATACATTTATACTGTACATTGCAACTATTAAAGGGCTGTGTAAAACCAGACATAACATGTTGGACCAGACATAATAGTGCTTATATGTTTTTTCAAATTAACTTTTACAGCAATGGGTTTGTTGTACCATAAATTTATTCTGTAATGGCAGGGCATTCTTGTCTATTAACTACCTTGTAAACATCCGAAAGATGAATTAAATAATCCATAAACATTCTGGTATGGTTTTGTTAAAATACTGCTAGCATTAAAATCAATAAAGGGTATTTTTATGTGTTAAAGAATACATAGTGGCTCCTTTCTGTCAATTCCATTATTAAAATATCCGCCCATTGTACTCATAGGCTTAGTCTACAAATTTGCAGAACACTTATGACCTCGTGTGTCGAAGGCGAGTAATGACTAGTAAATAAACTACTTTGTGCGTAACGTGTCACTCTGCGTGCCACACACACCGCCCATCACAAACTGTCAAATATTTTTTTGCCAAGTGACTGATCTCAGACATCGCCTGGCTTGCTGACAATTTAAAGGTAGGGAAGGTTTGGTCTATTGAATTGACACTACTCATTTATTTTAATTGTCATCAAGAGAAAGTGTTTTTCATCCGACTTGGGTTAGGAGGTTACACTGTAGGCTTTATGCAGCAATATTAGGCGTATGGAAATTTCTGAATGTTGAGTTTTGTTTGTATTTTTATTTTTATGAAAGTATAATTACAATTAAAAACAATGAGTGCAGGATACTATACCATATTTTTATTTCTGTTTTCATGAAAGTGTAACAATTGGAGAGTTACAATTAAATATAATGAATGCAACCAGGACAAGTGTGGTTGGCCTATTTTGTTTGATGTTGTTTATCCTTTAGAAATGTGGAAATCAGTTGTAGGCCATAACGTGAGTGCAAAGGAGAGCACAGGGGATGGAGATGATTGGGAGACAGACCCTGACTTCGAGGTAACTTTAAAGTAAATGCTATACTTGGGATTGAACACTGATGCTCTTGTTTACCTTGTGCACCCTGTTTTTGTAGAATGACATTACAGAGCAGGAGCAGAGATGGGGAGCAAAGACAATCGAAGGTTCGGGGCGTAAAGAGCATATAAGGTGAGGGACTATTTAAAATGTCTCTCAAAATAAAACACATATAGGCCAATGTGGTTATGCACTGCAACAGGAAGAGGAAGTCAAGAGAGCAGAAGTAAGTCAGCAAGTCTGACCTAATAAGGAAACTACAGAACTATGAAACATCAGTCATATCTGTAGGAGTATTAAATGTGTTTAAAGTGGCAGAACAAATACAGAAATTAAACTTCACAGATCTTCTAGCATGTGCCAAATAAAACATTATCCTTCACACACTCTATCTTTTTAAATTAAGTCTACCTATGCCTTAAAGATTGCCATGCCAGCATCATGTTTTGAAATATAGATGCACTGATCCAGCTTTTTCAATTCTGATATTGATTACGATACTGTGGCTTTAAGTACTTGCCGATTCCCAATATCAACCAATACTAATGCTGAGACTGAAAACAGAATTTATTTTCTTTAAATAAAAATAAAATCCATAAGATCCAAATGTGTTATGTAGCTGGTATTTATCCCCCAATTAACTTTAAACATTATAATATTGTGAGACTTTCTGGGCCAATACTTTTATTACATCAATTTATATGTCCAACTAGGATATTGGTTGAACCGATATTTGGAAGCCAATATCCAAGACAGCTAATTATTCAGTATCAAATCGGTGCATCCCTATTTTGAAACACATGCACACGTGGGTTTTTTGCAATATAAGAGGAATTAAAGGAATATATGTTAATTACTATGATATAACCTCATATTATCATTGGCAGTGTGGCAGACCTCAGACAGAAAGTGGTGGTGGAGCATGAGCGGGTGAAACAGAAAGAACACATTCCCAAAGCCTCATACGGTTATGGAGGCAAATTTGGGGTGGAAAAAGATCGAATGGACAAGGTTTGTACTGAAGTATTAACATAATTGCCCTTGAATTGTATTTAATTTATAATTTGCTTTAATGAAGGTGGCTCTGGGGCATGACTACGTGGCAGAGGTGCAGCAGCATTCCTCACAGAAAGACGCATCACAAGGATTTGGTGGGAAATTTGGAGTTCAGAAGGACCGTGTTGATGAGGTAAGAATACAATCTATTTATATGCATTATCAAATAGTATACAATGATTTTTTTATTTTTTTTTACTGCAGTCAGCTTTGGGCTTTGAATACAAAGGAGATGTGCAACAGCATGCATCCCAGAAAGGTACCTGAATCATTTCGAACAGCAAACAGGATTTTTATAAATCACTGGAAATAACAATGTATTTTAGATTATTCAAAGGGTTTCGGGGGAAAGTATGGAGTAGAAAAAGACAAAGTGGATAAAGCTGCTCTGGGATATGACTATAAGGGCGAGACAGAGAAACATCAGTCACAAAAAGGTGAAGAATGTCCATTTCAAAAGTTGATGCTTTAAAAACAATAGGTATATTTACTTGTCTCTTGTAATGGCAGATTATTCTAAAGGCTTTGGGGGAAAATTTGGTGTGGAGAAGGAAAAAGTGGATAAAGCTGCCCTTGGATATGACTACAAAGCAAACACAGAGAAGCATCAGTCACAAAAAGGTAATAACAGCTGTAATTAAGGAATCACTGAGTCCTTCTGTTGACAATAATTTCTTAATATTTTCATCAGATTATTCAAAGGGGTTTGGAGGAAAGTTTGGAGTAGAGAAGGAAAAAGTAGACAAATCAGCTTTGGGGTTTGATTATAAGGCTGAAACAGAAAAGCATCAGTCACAAAAAGGTAAGATAAATACCTTTGTGTTTTTGAAGGACACAGGAACACAAGCCTAAATTCACTATTCAATGATTTCTTATTTCCAGATTATTCGGCAGGATTTGGAGGTCGATATGGAGTACAAGCAGATCGTATGGACAAAGTCAGCATTTTCAACACCTCATTACATTACAATTTAAAATGCAATGAATGCATATTTTATATAATAAATCATGTAACCATCACGTACACTTCAGAGCGCAACTGGCTACTCGGATATTGACTCTCCTACTTCTGCATATGAAAAAACAGTGCCAGTGGAAACATGTAAATAGACACTTTAAATAGATATTTTGTCATTTTTATAAGAAATACGTTATATAATGTAAAGTGCCTTGTTGTTGTGTGTGATTCAGCGAGTGTCGGTGCGGGTAAACTTAAGGCACGTTTTGAGAGCATGGCCAAAGCATCCGATGAAGAAAACCGAAAGAAAGCAGAGGAAGAACGAGCAAGGAGGCAAGCCCGAGAAACTAGAGAGAGAGAGGAGGCTAAAGAGCATCCACCGGTAATTCACATGGACACTGTTGAGCTGTCATTAATACAACTACAAGAATGTTACAAAGTTTATTGGACCAAACTGCTCTTAAAGTTTAACCTTACTATTTGATTAAGTCTATGGTCCGCAGAATCTAAATGCAACAAAAATAAAAACTTGTTGCAGGAAATAAGCAGAGAGGAGAAATCTCTTCCTCCACAAGCCTCAGCTATGTATGCCAAAGCTGTCCCTGAAGACCACCACACCCACAGCACAGAGATACAGGAAGAGCCAGAGGTAACAAATTAAAATGAACTTGACTTGCGCTTTTGTGACCTTATGAGTGGAATCAGAGTATGCCTCGAACTTTCCTGGAATTATAGTTTTGAGCTTGTATGCAGGAGGAGCCACTTTACGAACAGCCTCCAGCGATTCCTCCACATGAAGAGGATATACTAGATGAGAATGCTCCTTCGGTTCCTCTGAGGTCAGCAGAAGTGGATGAAGTAGAGGAGGATGATGGGGAGTACGAGAACCTATCAGAGCCGCAGCCACCTTCCTCTCAACTCACAGGTTTGTTTAAGGTTAGACTGCATTCAGATATATTCAACACATATTTATTTGGACTGTCACATTCAACAGAGGGCGACAATGATTATGAAGACCTGTCATATGGCTTGCAAGCAAAAGCCATTTATGATTATCAAGGAGGTACGGGATTCTTAATGGCCAGTGATTTCTTTGTACAAAATTTCATAGTGTTGCTTAATTTATGTCACAGAGGCTGATGATGAGATCTCCTTCAACCCAGAGGACATTATCACCAATGTGGAGATGATCGATGAAGGCTGGTGGAAAGGACACTGTCATGGGCGCATTGGTCTGTTCCCAGCTGCTTATGTGGAATTAATACAGTGATGATAAACTTGCAGTTTTGCACTGAATATTTTGAATAAACAATGATACTACTTGATAATAAAGCCATTTAAGTCTGGTGTTAATTAAAATTGTCCAATACCACTAGGAAAACCCCTCATATCTTAATCCCCATCATGAGCCTATATTATCGAACAGGAAGAGAACCTAATATTTATGTCTTAGTTTGAAAAGGGAGAAATGCACAGAAAAGACCAACTTGACCCAGGTCTGATTAAGTCTTTGTTTTTCATACGAGGTTTCAGTTTGACTTCTTTACAAAAACAGACCTTTGCAAAAGTATGGCAAAGTTTTTCATAAACAATTTGGTCAAACAAACAATACATGATGCAATTCCTTTAAAGGTCCATAGATAATTTTTCAGGCAAAATAAGTCTGTTACCAAGCAATGCCCTTCTTCTTTTTGCTAGAGCCTCCTTTCTTAGCCATCCGTTTGCCTTTAATTTTTTTGGCTTGACGCTGACTCATCCAAACAGGATACTGTCCATGTTCATTAAGCAGAGTTTTCTTATTGCGCTTGCTGTCCATATCCATTTTCTCACCTAAGCAAAAAATAAATAACAATAAATACGCATCAGTGCTAAGGAAGCTAAGGAACTACAGTTGCTCCGATGTTTTACTTACCATCCCCTGTATCTTCTGTCATTTCCACGTCTGTTTGTTTCTTTATTTTGTCAGCTGGTACCACAGTGGTTATATCCTGTATGTCTGTCATTACAGCCTCGCCTTTCACGTCTGTACCAAGAGCCTTCTTGAGACGGGCCAATTCTTTGGGGGCATTTTTCTTCCTTTTCTCTGCCCGCATTTTTCTCTTCCATTTGCTTCGGAGACTTTTGGCCATCTTAACGATTTTCTATAATACTGTAATAAGAATAAGATAGCATGTGAACTTAGAACACTTGTTTTAAAATTACACCCAAAACATAATTTAAGTTTATAGCAATTACAACTATCAGAATCAAATGCAACTCTAACTAAACTCTACTCAGGCAAGTTAGCAAGCGTGCTAATTCCAAGAAGCCAAAGTATTATTTCAGTTCACGGATTTAAACACCTGATCGAACAACAGTACTGTAAAATTCATTTATAATATTAAATGCAGTGCAATAACTTACAATGTGATTATGGTTCAGATTATCTTTATAGTAGAAGCAGCGGAGACAGCGTATTCTGCACGTGTTTACAAGCGAGGACATATGTGCTACACGCCAATAAAACGCGACATGATTGGCTGAAGTCAAAGCGACGGTAACGTGAACTCTGATTGGTTTTGTTGCTTTATTCCAGGAAGTTCGATGTAAACACATTTTGCGAATGTGAAGCTTTTGGCTTTAAACTATGAATGTCTCGTCTAATAGCAATATAGCATCAGCGTCGCCTCATAGCCGTGCTATTAGCACGTCTCAGTGTTTAACTATGAATTCAATGCCCAGTTTGTTGGAGTCAGCTGCAGAGAAGTTCATTTTGAACAAAGATTTTGAAAATGTTTTTGAAACTTGTGACAGAGCTCTGCAAACCTTGACAAACGGCGAGCACGAGGATGAAAGGTAAACGTGAAATATTAATGCCTTGGTTGTTGATGTATTCTGGTGTGAGTGAGATTTTTTATATGATGATTGTGTTTCTAGGTCTGAAGATATCAAGACTGGCTTTTGCATCTTGGGGATGCAGGCACTGGCTGAACTAAATGAATGGCGTCGTGCTCTCCCTTGGGTTCTTCAACAGTATGATTACCAGGAGAAAATACCAGCTAAAATTATTCAAATGTGGTACAGTAAAACGCGATTGTACTTTGTTAACCTACAGGCTATTGCATTCTTTTCGTGTATAACATCTTCAAGAGCTTATTTTAAACTATAGTGATTGCCAATGATTTGATCTGCTTGATTGGATTTATTTTAGTTGTTACAATACATAACACATTAAAAAAAAACAGTCATCACTGAATAACTTGAAACTGATAAAAGCAATAATACATTTAAAAAATACTGAAAATTGCCCAATGAAAATCAAACATTGCTTTTCACCTGTGGTTCAACAGAATTATTAGAAAAACCAAAATAATGAAACTGGCCTGGACAAAAGTGATGCTACCCTTAACTTTGTTTTAGCTTTGTTTGTTGCACAACCTTTTGAGACAAACTCTGCAAACAAATGATTTCTGTAAATGTCAATGAGACTTCTGCACTGGTCAAAAGGTATTTTGACCCATTTCTCGTACGCAAAATGTTCTAGTTGCCTTAGGTTTGAAGGTTGCCTTCTCCAGCCAGCATGTTTCAGCTGCTTCTACAGATGTTCAGTAGGATTGAGATCTGGGCTCACAGAAGACCACTTCAGAAAGTTTTGTTCTAAGCCAGTCTTGGATGGGCGGCAGTAGCTCAGTTGGTAGAGCATTCGCTCACTGATCTGAAGGTTGGTGGTTCGAATCCAGTTCTCGGCATAAACATCACAGGTTGAGCAGTCAGATCCACTAACCCACAGGTTGGCTGATGTGATTCTAGCTCCCACAGATGAATGCTGTCATTGTGTCCTTGGGCAAGACACTTAACCCACCTTGCCCACAGTGTCTGCGTACACTGGTGTGTGAATGGGTGACTGGTTCCTTGTTGTAAATCGCTTTGAGTGCCTTGAAGGTGGAAAAGCGCTATAGAAAAATGTAACCATTTACCATGTTTTAAGCTGTGTGTTTTGGGTCATTATCCTGTTGGAAGACCCATGACCTACGACTGAGACCAAGCTTTCTGACACTCGTCAACACATTTCATTTCAAAATACATTAATGGTTTTGAGACTTTGTTGTACATTGCACAGATTCAAGACACCCTGTGCCAAATGCAGCAAAACAGCACCAGAACATAACCAAGGGGAATGCGCACCGGGGCGAGGGCCACCATCGCCGCAAGCGGCTTTAATTTATTATTGCTTTTCTTAGTTTCAAGTAATTTCATTGAAAATTGTTGATTTTTCTTTCATTTCCAGAGGGGTACCAACAATTTTGTCCACGTCTGTATTATGCAGGGATAATTATAATATATAGAATATAGATTACCAATGCTGTGTTAATTAGGAGAATATTCAATACTTTTCTCTTTTTCAGTATACTACTCTATTCCAAAGTTGGAGAGGCAGTTGTGATGATGGAAGTAACCAATATTTGGTTACACTGTGTAGAAAACAACAGGGCTTCTGGATTTGCAACAGTCATGGAGCTCTACCTGTTACACATTCTCATACCACTTGGACACCTGGAGGAGGCCCGAGAGCTGATTCAGGGGAGAGTGGGGAGCAATACATTAACAGAGGAGCAAAGACGCACAGCCCTTGACATTGTAGAAGAAAAAGAACTTGAATGTAATCCTGCTCAAAATCCTTCGAGTGATTCCACGACCTGTCTTCTTACAATCAAGCCTCAAGGTGTAACAATGACACATAGTATACATACTAAATGCATGCACCCTGGTGTTTTGTTTACATTGTTATGTTTTACAGGGGCAATATTGCACAAACTTGGAGCAATAATAAAACATTTGTGCAAAAAACTTTTGGGACCATTTTCCTGTACTTTCCATCTCCACAAAGTCTTGGTTCTTGCTGTTTTTCTTTATATGTTTTTCATTCGGATGGATCCAGGTCAGGTGGTTTTATAGCTATTACAAAAATACTTGAAAGTGAATAACACAGACATAAGGTGTATTAAGCCTTTCATTCTGCTTTCAGCTCTTCCATCTTCATTTATGTGGATTTCAAAACTTCATCAACTGATCAAACAGATGTGGACTGCTTGGTTTGGACCCTATTATCATGCTATGAAATAATAATTAAAATATGTTTATAATAAATATGTTATGTTACACCTTAAATGCCATCATTTGAATTATGGTGTGTATCAGAGTGGGAAGCAATGGCTAGAATTATAGACATCCACTTACTAACATCTCACAAATGTATTAATGCCATTAAATAGTCCTACATCAAAATATGTACCAATTTAAAGGTACAGTAACTTTCTGGAGGTGGCCCATTACGTGCATGTTTCCATGGGGGAAAAAAAGTTAAAACCATACTCTGGAACATTTTTTATGACGATTATAGCCAAAGCTTGGAAACGAGCTTAGGGAGGCCTTTCTCCAGACCAAAAACGTTTGTGGCGATACAGGAAAAAATAGGCTATTTTTTTTTTTTTTTTTTTTAAGTTATATTTTTTTATATATTTTATGTTTTACAGTATATGCTAATTGAGAAAAGATGTAGGCTATATAATTAATCTTATTATCTTATCTTATTAGACCAATATTGATTAATTTTTTTTTTTTCATGCCAATATTAAAACTTAACTCTCAAATTTTAAGTTTCAATTCCCAAATGAAATAGACTGAAACGAAACTGAAACTGTGTAACTCAACAGCGCAAACCTCTGGTGCGTTGTGAAAACTTCAGATCTGCGCCACAGCTGCGATGTCTTCGAGACTTGTCTGTCGTTTTTTCTATTCGCGGAGTTCGTCAGGTGAGTGTTTCAGTGTGTGGGTACACTGTATAATACCGTATACGTATATATAATAGAGTGTATGGCGTATACAAACCGGTGACTAGGATATTTAAAGGCTGCTAAAACATCTCCTGTTCATATGTTTTTTTTTATGAATTACTGAAGCCTAATGGCTTCCGGTTTAAGTATTGTACCTGTATATAGTAGTTTACTTTTTAGTATAGCCTATAATAATAAAATATTAGTCATTGTAACATTTTTTTTTATGATGTCCATTGATGTCTTTCAGGAATACGGGGCCTGACAAACTACTGTTTGTCCTGTTGTGTGAACACATTATTGCAGACTCTCTCTGCCACTTGGGAACTAGTGCAGTTGCTTGACAGGTGAACTAATTACATTGATATAGTGTGGTACTATTGATACTTTGCATCTGATGTCCTCCCTAGTGGTGTGATGCTAAGTGTAGGCTCCACATTGTCTGAGACTTTATTAGACTTTAGATCTGTGCTTTATTTTAATGCAGTCTGACATAAAGAACTGACTGAGCTGATTTGTGCTGTTAAACAAGTCTTACAAAAATTATAGTGCCAACCAATCATTAGCTAACAGTTTTTCAGTAAGTTTCTCTTATCTTTTTTGTTGAAAATCAAACACATAAACAGCACCATGAGTGACTTTATTGATCACAGTGTTATTTAAAGCCTTTTTTTTTTTTTTTCTTTTTCACATTGTTTACTAATATTTCACCATAGATCAGACATGTCAAACTCAGGCCCGGGAGCCAAATTTGGCCTGCGATCTAATTATATTTGGCCCGCAAGATCATATTAAGTATGTATTAGAGCTGGCCCGCCGGCTACAGAGACATTATTTAAAATGTTGTTATTATTTTATATACTGCTTGTTCTGGATTCAGTGTTTAAGCAAAACTATGATTAAACATTTATTTTAATAAGAAAAGGTTTAATATTACATATCTCAAAAGAAGAGAAAACATGCAGATGTTGTTGAAAAATTTCAATAAATATTTAGTTTGGCCCATGACTTTATCCCAGTTTTGAATTTTGGCCCTCTGTGAATTTGAGTTTGACACCCCTGTCATAGATGGTGACAGATACACATAGAACACCCCCAGCATGATGTCACCACAGTATCAATAAGCTATAATGTGTCAACATAATTTTCAGCATATATTTGGTCATATAACCCACTAAACTGTATTGTCCCAGGTGGGATACAGCTCACTTGAGAGCAGATGACAGCTGTAATGTCCCGCTTCAATTGAAAAAATTTCTTGTTGCTATGCAAAGTGAGGAGTCTGTTTCACATCGAAATTTCCTGCACTGTCTGGACAGAAACGGAGTTCAACGTAAGAGCCACAAACTCTGAGGAATGTTTCATTGTAATTCCCACTGTAATTGTTTCATGTTTGTACAGTTGACACACAACATGATGCAGATGAGGTTTTCCTGTTTATCCTCAACTTAATTCAAAAACAGATGGATGACACTATTCTGGTTAGTTACTTTATTTCATTTTCTTACTTTAATTACTTTATACTGTGCATTTATGTGTTAATCTTATTTTCATTGCAGGCTGAACAGATCCAGGCTTTGTATAAAATATCAATGGAGACCTATGTCCAGTGTGTGGACTGTGACTCAGTCCAAACCAAAGAAAACTACCTGCTGAGCCTGCCTCTACATGTGAAAGAGTATCACACATCACTGGTATAATACAGTCATTTTTTAAAATAATATGTTTTTATTCTTTATTATTATAATCTAAAAACAGACAACAAAATTGCTGTCACAGGAGCAGTGTTTAACATCATTCTTTGAGGAACACAAACTCACAGGCATAAACTGCTGCTTCTGTGTTCAATGTGCAGTCAAGACCCCTACCAAACAAGTATGTTTAATATACAACAGTAGCATTTCAGCCACTGCAAATGCAAATCAGTATATTATATTTTATTTTCAGGGTGTTCGGCTGCTCTCCTTGCCACCCATATTGTGCATACAGCTTAAGCGTTACCGCAATCATGGCGGGTTTACACGTAAACTTAGTTATGAGGTGACTTTTCCTGAAATGCTTGACTTATCAAGAGTACATCAAGCTTTCTCCAAAGACTTCAGTCAGGTACTACAGCCATATATTTCCAGAGACGGTCCTTGGCAGGGGGGACATTTGTTTATTCATCTGCAATATTGTTGTATTTAACTTCATCAATTAACTTCCAGCCTCAATGCCAGTACACTCTTTATGCAGTAGTGGTGCATTCAGGGTCTGCAAGTTGTGGTCACTACACAGCTTATGTCCGTCATAGAGACATGAGCTGGTACTACGCTGATGACAGCCACACTCGCCAGGTAACATAACATTTTGCCCACAGCCATTTTATTTCCATAATGTATTTCATGAAATTCTTTACAGTTTGTCATTTTTTATGTTACATTTTTTGTGATATCAATACAGGTTTCATGGGACAAGGTGCAGACATCCTATGGAGGAGAGCTCAGGTAATTTAAGCAGCACTGGTCTAAACATATACTAGTAGATGAAGAGTTAAAATATTCACATTTAGTGTTCCTTCAGGGGTTCCTTTTGGAGTAAAGAGGTTTTATATCATTTGGGCTATGAAATTACCGAGGCATACAACATTATTGTTCAAATTTGTTTGCAATGTTGGTTTCAGTGGTTTGGCAGCCCTGAAAGTAAATTGAGAAATTTAAGACAAGAAGAAGTCCTAAACAAAATGTCATTCTTTGTGTTTGTGTTTCCATCTGATCCAATCTCTCACCTTGAACTAATGAGGAATGCAGCAGTCGTGCCTTCAGCAATTAGCAGAGTAAAACACATGACTCTCATTAAAACCTGCTTAAACTGGCCTTCACTTGCTTTGAGACTGAAGTCACAGATTTTTATTAAAATAGTCACATCCCAAAATGTGTCATGGGAAGCATTATTTCTCAAGACATTGCGACTTTAGATCTTAAATGAAAGAGAAGAGGTGACCCTGATCTTACCATGAAGCCTCCCAAAACTTTTGATTTGAAGTCAGACGAAACACTCCTTTTCCTGCACCATAATAATTTTTTGATTCTGTGGCATTGTATTCTTTTCTTTGATCTTAGTGCCTCAAAACTCATATCATAATTAGACTGTATCTTACAACTTACAACTTTTATTTTTGCAGACATACAGCATACATGTTGATGTATAGAAGAGAAGAAAGCAGCACAACTGGTATAAAATGCCACAAAGAGACAACCAAATAGGAAACACAAGTACTCATGTATTGTCTTTATGTATTGTAATTTAATGACTGTTTGGCAACACTAAATACATTTGCGATGGAGAACCAGTAGGTGGTGGTGAAGACTTAAAACAGGGCAACTCTTGGCTCTCAGACCACACACACGGAGAATGATTATGGTTGGTTTAACAGACTGCTTAGTAGTTAAATGTTCACTGTTTTGGGGGAAATACCTGCAATAAGACCCACTGTCTGTTATGATAAAAATAAAGGAATTGAAATTGAAGCTATTAAAATATCTTACTTAACTCTTCTATTTTTAATCATAGTGATTCATTAGTGCATTAGTCCTCTACTGAGGTTTTACAGACTCTTAAAGATCACTTTACCATTTTGTACATATTCTATTTATTCCATGCAGCTTCCCTGGGGTACTGACAAAAGTGAGATTTCAAATCTTCACAATCGGCTCACCCACACACCACATTCATCCTAGGCAAGGTTTGTTAAGTGTCTTGCCCAGTGACACATCAACAGTTTGCACTAGAGACACATGTCGTCCCACTCTGTCACCTGCTGCAGTCTAAAATTCAAGTAATAACCAGACCCAGCCCTGCTTAACTTCTGAGATTATGGCCTGACCTCTAACAGTTAGTTGCACAATCGGCTTTTCTCCATGGAAATGCATAAGTTTAATGCCGTTCTATGGAACATTACAGGCCAAGTAGTAACATATGTATGGACATGGTGGCATACTCTCTACTTGTAAAGCACAGTTAGTTTCTGAAGTACTTGGAGGTAGCGTTTCTGTCCATGCTGTCCTTACTGTTTAATATATTGTAACTTCAAGATTGAAGCAGAGGTAAAAAGTTGCTCAGGACATCTCTGTCTTTTAGGATGCAGTTGATAAACCATGATCTGGTTTGCAGTATGTGGCTGCTGTAGTGGCCGCGATTGGCTGTGGAGTTATAGCCCCTGTCGTTCCCACTGGTTTTGAGTTGGGGACCGTGTGAATGTGGAGCTGTGCTGAGGTCTGACAGAGTGGAACATGTCTGCACTGCCACAGGCACAGGGCCTCTGCTTAGTCATCTCATCGTTGCCAGAGCTGCACCACTCTGCCGTATAGAAACCATATGCTCATTGAGGCAGATCTTTTTCTCCATTTGCATAATGACTGTGCTGCTGTGAAAGCTGGGGATGGCAACTATCACAATGACAAGTGCACATACAGCTGCTACTAATGTGACAATAACTGTAGGCACTCTGTGTTTTATTAGGTTTTATCACTTCAAAAATTTGTTAAGTAGAAGTCATATTTATAACTGAATCTTGTGTAAATTATTTTTGTTAAGTATTTTCCATAACTGCAGCAGCCACTATAGCTGCCATATTAGCTCTACTGTGAAAAAAAAAGTAGTGGCAATTAATAAGTAAAACTTGTTGTAAGCTTTGAATTCAAATGTACTTAAAGGTGCTCTATGTAACTTTTGTAGAGGAGGATCTGACACCTGCTTGTCTCTGCTTTTCCTTAGAATGTTCCACAATATGGCATTTAACTTGTATATCTGGCATTTATTCAATTACAGGTGTTCATACTGCACAAAAAAATCTAGCTGTGAGTAACTTGTGCAGTCTGGTGGAGTCCAGTGCTTGTCTCTATGTCAACATCTCCATGGAGACCCTTTGTTAAAAAAGTTACATGGTGGACCCTTGAGTATCCAATTACTTTCCACCACTGAGCATATGCCGTTGCAAGTGGATGTTTAAACATATGCAGCATGCACAGTTTAACAACTAAACTGATACAGAAAAAGCTAAAGAGCAACAGCTCTTTTGTAGCTAAGTGCTTCCATGACTTGTTTTGGCAGCATCACAATAGTAACAGTGGGAGTCTTGGGCCAGTCCGATGTCCACAAGACAAATAAAACAAAAATACGTCATCAGTCTCTGTTCAGCTAAAGGTCTAATATGAATGAACGATTTTTAATTATTTCAGCAACTGTGACAGAAGTTACAGATAAAGTGAGTTTTAGCAGTACATGAACACAGTAAAGTGTCTTGCCCAAGGACACAAAAATAGTGTGCGTAGAATGGAGCCAAAATGGAGCTAATGTTTTTCAATGGACAGACGCTCTGCCCCATTTTTAGTTGATAATTCCCAAAAACATACTTCAATAATTACATACATTTTTGTGCCTATAATATACCAATAATATTAACAAATATCCAATAACATGCACACAATTTCAGTATTATTTCTTTTTTGCTCTTTGCCTGGACAGGTCAAAATGTCAGTAAAGTGCTCCAGACGCTGTCCTATCGTTGTTAAATATAGCCCTTGTAAGCTACTGCATGAGTGACGGGATTCTCTGAGCTTTACAGTGGGCAGCAAACTATTTTCTTTGGACAGGTTTGGGAGATTCATTAATGCTTTTTGGTCTTTGTTGATGTGTGTTTACCAGTTACTAGGTGAGCGCACCACTGCAATGCATCGAATAGAAAATGGAATTTGGCCATTTGAGAAGCGCTCTTAAATGTTCCCTTTTTCTTGAGGGGGCTTTTACAGGCTTATCATCAATTTCTGAGCCTGACTTGAATCGTTTATGTGACAGACAGACAGCATATATTTCAGCTGTCACTATCAGATTGACCTTAATGTAATTCTTCCCAAGCCTGTGCCAATGCCTGCTTATTCAAATCAGACATCATGAGGTTCTATTTTTATTCATTTTAATAGGAAATCACTTGCATATTGTTGCTGTATACTTCTTCTTTCTCCTGAGAGTTTTTTTTTAATGGAAGTTGAACTGTTAAAGGTGCACTATGTACTTGTTTGTCTCAATGGAAAGTTTATTGATTTGCCAGGAATGTTGTACATCAGGACTCTTAAATGTATCCACCTTGCATTTATTTCATTAGGGGTCTACTGCTCAATAATACCTTGGAAAAACAACCTGGTGGCGTTGCATGTTTGTTTCCATGAAGATAGATAAGTTTGATTCTATACGGTGAAGCACCTGGAGTGTGAAAACACGGAAACGCTGCATAGGCTCCACAGTTATTACTAGAGTTGAACCCAGAATCTTCTTGCTTTGCGGCCAGAGTGCTAACCACTCAGCCGCTGTGGTGAGACCAACAAGTGCTGAATCCTCATCCACATGTGTGCATCTTTAAACTGGATAGAATGCTCCCCTATGGGATGGGATAGTATAACAAAGATGTTTCTCTTTGTGTGTCAAAACAAGGACCCCTTAACAAGCTCCATTCTGATGGCCCCCATCACTTCACAGGAAAAATTATCTAACTTGTCCATGGATGGTAAGATTGCTTCCACTTCATGGTTACATAATGAAACTTTTTTGCCTAGTTTGTGTTTTATGTGGAGGTGGTGACCAAGAAAATTTCTTCAATCACAGAAGAAAAAACGAAAAGGAAAAGTCCTATGCAGTGCCAAGTCCATGTTTCAGGCATTTTATTGTACAAAGAGAGGCACTTTAATGTGCTAAAATCCCCCCCCAAAACCCTCTCTTGCATGGTGAAGACAAACTACTCAAAGATCATAGTTTGAGGATAAATGCTTGTTCCAATGAACAACAACACCCAATATGAAACACTGATAATTTCAGTGAGTAAATCATATAAATACAAGTTTAATCTCTTTCCTGGTTCGACAGCATACATATTTTACCTTTCCATTGTTTTTATTTTTATTCCATAATCAAAACAGAAATATATGCTTGTATTAAAGATAAAAACTAAGTGGTCCCAAAGAGAGTTAAATTACTTTATGTAGTAATGTAACATATTATCAACATTCAAGTTTGTTTTTTATGGCATATCACCTCTAAAATGCAAGTTCCCAAATAATGCTGATTTTAACTTTATTATGCAGTCTGCTGCCATTGCTTGTGAAATAGAAACATTTTACACAGAGCCTTCACAAAGCCAGAAGCAGCTCTGACAGTCTTATATAGGTCTTAATACTTACATTGAGTGTGTAACTTATGTTGTTAGTTCTTTATGGTTCTACAGTTTGAGCGTTGGAGTCTTATCTCTCCTCTGGGAGTTCATAAAGATTCCTGTCTGTAGAGTGAACTGTCTCTGGTCTGCATGAGCTTCATTCACGTGTTCACTCGTCTTCCCCCAGATTCTTGGCCGTCCAAATGCAATAAATACAACATCTGCTGAGTTTTCGAGGAAAGGGATGTTGAAAAGTTGAGCCGCATTAACAGCAAAGAAAGTGAGTGGTTAGATCTGGTTTGGTTCTCATTCCAGCATTTTGATTTTCTTTGATTTGGTCAACTCGAAATGGCAAGTGACACTGCTACTTAGTGGTTAATGGGGCCTATTGGTTTGTAGTTATTTCTATCTCTATGGCCTGCACAGTTGGGAGCAGGTTGTTTTGCATTGAAGACAAGTTGAAGCCCCTTTTTTGCGGTGCATAGACCACCCCCGTCCCATAGCTCTGTCATTAGTCGTCAGGTCACACTTCTGTCTCTTATCACTGAGATCCAAGGGAGGTCAGCTCTTGTCTTCAATCGGCTCAGGTTCCCAATGCAAAGACTTGGCCTGTTTGTGTCTGTGAGTCCATCACCTCAATGTTACACCATCCCTTACATACCTGCCACCATGTCAGGGCACATCCACATGTTATCTTGTTTTCACACTCTGTAGTCCTTGTCCTTAATCGAAATGTCATTTTCAGTAGACTTTGTACTAAATATAGTTAATATCTTTTGTATAGTGTCATTCCATTAAACATTTTTCAAAATCTTGGTGGACAGGAATGGATTTTAATTCATAAATGACAAAAGTTTATTAACCATGTGAAAATAAATGCCATTGTCGATCAAACAGAAAATCAATCAAAAATCCATTATTTGGAATCAGTGACTACAGGTAGATTTGTTGTTTTTTTCATACATGCTCTCCAAATTGGCTTTACTGGTAAAATTGATTTATTTTTTGTTTTTGTTTCATAAAATACTTATCTTCATAACGGCATTTGTCCTCATAAATCTCCACAATCATTTTGCATCTTAATTGTAAATTAAATCTTCTTGAGAGGCCTCAGCATACAGGAATGAATGGAATTGCACCTTGAGGCTAACTGCTGCCTCACGATCCCAGAGCCAAGAGTGTGATATGCCTCCTACAGCCTGTTAGCTGCAGCCCACGCTAACCTCACCTGTGTATGCATGCCAATAAGTTGCTACACCTGCGCTCCAGTTAATGAATAGCCAGGCCGGAAACAGCACTGAATACCTCTGTTTAAGTAAAAGTACT